TAAAGTCATGATTAAAGATTTATTAACAGTATTTAAACCAAAATTCTTTATATTTTTATAAACTAAAATATTATAATATTATAAATAAATAATTAATTATTATAATATTAAGTATTTTTATTAATTTCAAATTATTTGTTGCATTATTATTATAACTTTATTACTATAGTTTATTTATTCAAAATTAATTTTGCATTCATTTAAAATAAAATTAATTTATGAAATATACCTTCATTTTCTTCCTCATTCGATTCAAGTAATATATATCGCTCACGAACGGGGGCAGTTGCACTCTTTCGAACCAAGTAAACTCGTACTTTTCGTCAACTTCTTTCCAGCCATTCTCAATCGGAGACTTTGTCATATGCTGCAAATAAGCGTTTCTCCAAATGGTTGCGATGCATGACGCTCTCAAAAGTTGTTGCTTTAATTCGGATTGACATGGAGGTATAGATGACGCATCAAATACAACTTTTGAGAGCGTCACACATCGCAACCATTTAAAGAAATGCTTATTTGCAGCATATGACAAATTTGTCTCCGATTTAAAATGGCTGGAAAGAAGTTGACGAAAAGTACGAGTTTACTTGGTTCGAAGGAGTACAACTGCCCCCGTTCGTAAGCGATATATATTACTTGAATCGAATGAGGAAGAAAATAAAGGTATACCTATTTCATAGATTAATTTTATTTTAAATAAATGCAAAATTAATTTTAGTTTATAAAAATATAAAGAGTTTTGGTTTAAATACTGTTAATAAACCTTTAATCATGACTTTAGAAATATGATTTTAAGATAATAATTATTTTTTTGCAAATAAAACGAGTTAATTAGTTTAGTTCGTAAAAGTTTTGTTTTTATCGCAGCTTATTAAAATCGTGTAATTTTAATAATAAATTCAACTTTGAATCATTTTCAGATCATGAACGTACTCAATCAAAGGAAATCGAACAAGAATCCGATGACGATACCGACAATACCGAGCTCACCGATGATGAAAATGAAAGTTCATCAGAAATTGAAAGTTTGATTACAGATTATCCAGATAAATAAATTAATAATTTTAATAAATAAAGTTAATTGATTTTTTATAAGCGTATACTTTCATAATGTTGACAACTTTAAAATATAGTTTTATTTTTAAATTACTTTATTTCTGATTATTACATAATTAATTACACATCATTCCACTACCAATAAGCACGAAATTGTTTACGTTTCTCCTTTGGGACAAGTAAAATCTTTTTCAATGAGTAATGCGTTAATAATATTACAGATACGGCGGGCAACGAGCTACCAGCGCGCTCGTGCAGACGACTTTAAAGGGGGTGCCAGACCAATTTTCCAGCCAGTACAAGTAACCAGACTTATTTTTTTATAATTTTATATATTTAAACTACCATCTTGACAAGTTACAGCTCTAATCAAATGATTCTACAAATCGACTTTTTACAACGACTTTGGGAGCATGCCAGACTCATTTTCCAGTGTCAGTTGCATGCCAGACTTTTCTAAAACATTTCTTTATATAAAAAACAATAAATATATAAAAGCTCAGCACTAATCAAATTCTTCCAACAGAAGTGTTTTTTCGACAAGATCAAAGGCGCCGCAACGCCCATTCCAGCGAGACAGCGCAGCCAGACTCTGCATTTCATCAACAACATTATTAAAACAAGAGAAATTACTTTGTTCCAAGACTAATAAAAAATCGCTGACACTTTTGTGTCGCTACCTCTCGGATTATAACAAGGAAATATAAAAAAAGTAAAAAAAGTCCTATACTAACGACGGAAGGCGCGCGGCGCGAGCGGCAACGCAGGCTCGCGCGGCGAAAGGGTTCGGTTCGCGCCCGCTACGCGGCGCAT